TTACAGATGTCTGAGCGTTACACTGTAAACAGAGACACTCTCACTGTCAGAGGACTGAATGAGTCTGATCAGGATCAGTACACGTGTAGAGGACGGAGAGATGAAAGACCAAACTCATCACAGGAGAGTGAACGAGTAAATCTGTCTGTTAATGGTGAGTAAATACTGTGATAAACACTCGCCTGTTCAACATTATCAGGCACTACAATATATGCACTGATGCATTTAAAATGAAGTAATTATCAGCTTTGGGGGGTTTCAACACACGTCCTTTTTAAGCAAACAAGGTTTATTAGAATGTGCTGGATGCATAAACATAAATACAATCTTTCTGATTAAATTAATGTTATAACCAACAGGGGCATATGGAGTAAAGTCAGAAGTCTTGAAATAATGAGTGATTTCATGTACTTTTGTAATATTATAATACAGTATGTCACTCATGATCAGATCAGCATGTTTGTCATGTTCTCCGTTCTCAGCAGCTTCATCTTCTCTTCTGGTCACTGGTGTGGTTGTGGGATTGAGTGTTTGTCTGTTGTTCTTCCTCTCACTGCTGCTGATGTGGAGATACAAGAAGAACAAAGGTGTGGAGCAGTTCATAACATGATTAATACAACTGAACAGCAACAATACAGTTTCTGAGTAAAGGCTCATGAGAAGATCTGAATATCAGACTAAAGAGTCACTGCAGATACTCTTGAGTGATCATAATGCTCTTTGTTTCTGTTATAGATCAGCAGCGTAACATTAACCAGACATCAGTCCCAAATCAATCTGCACAATCTCAACTGGAAAACTCTCCACTGCAGTCTGGTCAGCCTCAATAACTAATTTTATACACAGACACACACACACAAAAGACTACTTTGTATTTTACCTTAAAATGCTTGTTCTGATCACATTTATGATGACGTGACAACTGTGAAAAATAGAGATAAAGGTTGAGTCCTAAACCTTATTATAAAAACAATCTATACATCACACAAAATTAACAATCATTGAGTCATGTTGGCTTGAATTGTTTGTTTTAGATGATCCAGAGCCATCGGCAGAGGTCACATATTCAGAGGTCACTGTTAAAAAAAAGATGGACAAAGGTTCAAAAACCCTCTTAACTACACCAGTACAATATAATCATCGGTTTTAACTAGAAACATTAATGTATTTATAATTCATGAAATAAAAAAATGTGTATTTCATTCTAATTAATTAAATAGCATTATTATTATTTTTTTTCAGAAGATACCATTGCAGAAACAAATAATGTGACATA